GTTTCTAAGCCAAAAATGTTCTACATGAGGAATTACATATAATAGTGATACTAACTCAAAATTGCTTTTTTCACAACCCCATATAGCCTCAGGGATATGTCACATGACCAGTATACATTTCCTTCATGAGATAAAATTTTGATTGACCGACTGTAATAGCATCTTGAGCACTTTGATCATTGTCAAGTACCACATTATTGTCATTCTTGTATTCATAAACAAATTCTATATCTGTACATTCAACCAAATTCGTTGTTATTATGAATTTGAGTATTCAAAATTACATTGAAAGTTTATTCGAATAAAACGAATAAACGAATAATTTGAGTAAAATAATATAACAAATAATTCGAGTTATTCGAATCAAACAAATGAAACGAATAAATGAATAAACGAATAATTCGATAAAAAGAATAATTCGAATAATTCAATGTAACGAATAAAACGAATGTAACGAATAAATATAAACGAATGATTCAAATAATTCGAATAAAACGAATAAAAACAAATAATTCAAATAATTCAAATAAAACGACTAATTTGAATAATTGATAAAACGATTAATATTAAAACGAGTGATTTGAATAAACAAATAAAATGACGTAAACAAATAATTCGAATTAAGATTGAGTGTTACGAATAATCCGAATAAGAATTTGTATTACGAATAAAAACTCTGTCATTCATTGAGACAATGAATTGTCTGTATATATTTCTTTTTGAAATATATCAATAATTTGAATTTAATTATGATAATAAAATAATATTCAAACAGTCTTTGATACCTAAAACCAGATCATTAACATCCCTATTGATTGGTTACAAAGCTAACAACTTGGTATATACAAATTAACTTTAACAAACATGTTTACTTAATGCGCCAGTCCAGGTTTGGTCAATAAAATTTTGAACTGCATATGTCAGATTATTAAAATGACCATCTTGTGGTCGGATATATAATAATAATAATAATAAAAGAATACGATTATTATGATATATCATTTCAGAAATAAAAACATTAATACTTGTGTGATGATCACATGAACTCACAGCCTCCTCTTATTACATTAATGAATTAAGCTTTCTTAGCTTAAACCAAGTATATCATTTATACAATGAAAAAATATTAACGTTTTGGTCTAAAAAAGCGAAAGAATTGATATAATAATAAAAATAATAATAGACCTAACCCTTTAAATCAAGGTTATGGGATACAAAATTCTGAACTCCGCGCGAATTTAGAATATATATATATATATATATTGGTTTTTCTTTTATTAAAAAAAAACCCGATTAAAAAAAAATTTTTATTAAATTTGAATCATGTCAACCTTTTCATTTCAAGATTTTATTTTCTTAAGTTTATTACTTGTCATTGGTTATGTGATAAATTTTTATGTGAAATATTTTAAACGTCCAAATAAATTACCAGGTCCTTTACCATTACCATTAATTGGTAATTTAACTTCATATAGTGATTTAGCAGCTTGGATAAGCAGTCTCCAATCAAAATATGGTGATATTGGTGAAATATGGATTGGTGAAGAAAGAGCTATTTGGTTAGGTAGAGCTGAATATCTTGAGAAAATCTTTAAACCTTCATTTGGTAATTATAATAAGCGTACAACTCCAAACAAAGGATTAGATGCATTGGACTTGACTTCTAAAGGTTTAGTATTCAATGATAACTACAATAAATGGAAATATAATCGAAGTCTTTTCACAAAAGCTGTCTCAACACCAAGTTTTGTCAGACGAAATATCAAGGTCACTCAATCATTATTTTTGGAAATGGAAGAATATTGGAAGGATTCAGACCAACGGGATGGTGAAATCAATATGTTGGATTGGGTTCTAAGATTTTTTGCTGAGGTCATTATATTGACAACAACAAATAAAAAATCTGACACTCTAAATAATTATCATAAAGTTTTGTGTGCACCTGATAAAAATTCTGAAACAGAAACCCTAATTTATCATATCAGAACTATGATTAATGGAATGGAATTTTTTATGATGACACCTATGTTTTTACATGTTTTTCCAGGTTATAATAGTTCTGCCAAAAAAATCCTTCGCAGCTTTGATTGGACAAGGAAGCATTACCTGGCAAATTTGATTAAAGAACGTAGAAATGAAATTGAAAAAACACCAATTGATCAAGAATTGACTCCTGATATGTTGACCTTGATGTTAACATTTAATACACCACATGATAAATCTCAAGGTGATAATCAACAACCTCTTGAACCAATGACTGATGAAGACATATGTGAAAATATTTTGGAAGCTATTTTAGGTGGAGTTGATGCTGTAAGTAGATAATGTTTGTGGTGGTGGTGGTATTGAATTATTGATTATTGAGTTATTGGATTATAATAATAATTAAAATTTCGAATTTTTAGATTTCAAATGTAACTTGTTTCACTATTTACTATGTTTGTCACAACCCTGAAGTAAAACAGCATGTTATTGAAGAAATTCAAAAGGTCATTGATTTAAATTCAGACATTGAAATTGAAGATTTGCATAAATTACATTATTGTGAAGCTGTAATTAAAGAAGGTTAAAAAACAAAATTTACTTTTCAATTAATCAAAAAAAATTCACATTATATTAATATTAATTAAATATATTATTTTGCAAAATAGTTTCACGTCATATGCCAACAGTGCCAGTGAATTTTAGAATGGCAGAACATGCTGATGAAATAGATGGTCATAAATTTGAAGGTTCAACAACTTTATTCATAAATGCTCAAAGAATTCATATGGATAAATCATATTGGAAAGAACCTGAAAAATTTAATCCAGAAAGATTTTTATCAACAAACAACAATAAAAATGATAATAAAATCCAAAAGAATGCTCTTCAACCATTTGGAGGTGGAGTAAGAATATGCCCAGGTCGAAATTTAGCAATGGCACAACTTAAATTTTTTATGGTTTTATTATTTGGAAGATTTAATGTTGAATTGATTGATTATTCAGCACCTTTGAAAACTCATTTTGGGTTAACAAGACATTGTGATGAACTAAAGATGAAACTTATTCCTAGAAAATAAAAATATGAAATATTATTGTTTGATAAATTTACTACTATTTGTATAATTTTAAAATTTTTTAGCTAGAATATTTGTTTCTTACAAAAAAATAAATTACCTTTTCATATTCATTTGGACCATTATACAGACAATGCCTTGATAAAACAAATATACATGATAAACCAATGTTTTTTTATTATCTTTACATTAAAATTCATCTACTAACCGAAGATTTTTTTGTAACGTGGAATTCGGTCGCGTTTACTTCGTCGAAAATCATTTCGTCGACACCCATTTCGTCGAATGTTCATTTCGTCGAAAGTTATTCATCCTCGAGCCAGAGACCGAAAGAGTTAGATGTGAGGAGTGTGGGAAGTTAGTTAAGAAATTAGGTGAGGA